TCTACCCATTCAATAGGATGCTGGCCATGGGTTTGTTGTAAATTGCTTTGATTGTGTTGAGGAATGTTCCTTGTAACAACAATTTTCTTAAGGTTTTCATCATGAAAGGATATTCTATTTTATCAAATGCTTTCTCTGTATTTATTGAGATAATCATATGGTTTCTGTTCTTTAGTTTGTTGATGTGTTGTATCAGATTGATTGATTTGTGAATATTGAACCATCCCTGCATACCAGGGATAAATTGCACTTGGTCCAATTGAATGATCTTTTTGATGTGTTGTTGGATTCGATTGGCTAGTATATTGTTGAGGATTTTTGTGTCTATGTTCATTAGGGAAATTGGTCTGTAGTTCTCTTTCTCTGTTATATCTTTTTCAGGTTTAGGAATTAAGGTTATTCCGGCTTCATAGAAGGAGTTTGGAAAGATTTTTCTCTCTTTCAATTTTTTTAATAGCTTGAGAAGAATTGGAGTTAATTCTTCTTTAAATGTCTGGTAGAATTCAGCAGTGAAGCCATCCAGTCTGGGGCTTTTCTTTGTTGGGAGGATCTTTATTAATCATTCAATTTCCATCTTGGTTGTTGGTCTGTTTAGGCTTTCTATGTCTTCATGATTCAATTTAGGTGGGTTGTTTGTGTCCAGGAATCTATCCATTTCTTCTTCCTTCTTCCTTCTTCCTTCTTCCTTCTCCTCCTCCTCCTCCTCCTCCTTCTTCTTCTTCATTTATTTGACAGGGAGAGTTATAGACAGTGAGAGAGAGAGAGAGAGAAAGAAAGATCTTTCTTCCCTTCGTTCACTCCCCAAATGGCTGCTACGCCTGGAGCTGTGCTGATCCAAAGCCAGGATCCAGGTGCTTCTTCCTGGTCTCCCATATGGGTACAGGGGCCCAAGCACTTGGGCCATCCTCCACCGCTCTTCCAGGCCATAGCAGAGAGCTGGACTGGAAGAGGAGCAACTGGGGCTAGAACCCAGTGCCCAAATGGGATGCTGATGCTGCAGGTGGAGGATTAACCAAGTGAGCCATGGCACTGGCCCCTCTCCATTTCTTCTAGGTTTCCCGGTTTGTTGTCATACAGCTCTTTGTAGTAGTTTCTGATGATTATTTTTATTTCTGTGGTATCTGTTGTTATGTTTCATTTTCTATCTCTAGTTTTATTGATTTGAGTCTTCTCCCTCATTTTTTGGTTGGTTAGGCCAATGGTATGTCAGTTTTTTTTTCCAAAAAAATAGATGTTTGTTTTGCTGACCTTTAAATTTTTTTGGTTACACCTTTGTTTATTCTTTAATTTTAATTGTTTCTTTTCTCCTTCTAATTTTGAGTTTGGTTTGTTGATGTGTTTCTAGGTCTTTGAGATACATTGATAGTGCATTTTTATTTGGTGTCTTTCCAATTTTTTTGATGTAGGCACCAATTACTATAAACGTTCCTCCTACCACTACTTTTGCTGTATCCCGTAAGTTTTGATTTTTTACTTCTCCTGTGATCCACTGTTCATTCAGGACCATGTTGTTCAGTTTTCATGTGTTTGCATATGTTCTAGAGATTCTTGAGTTGCTGATTTCCAGCTTCAGAGAATATGCTGGTATGAGTTCAGTTTTTTAATTTGGTGAGACTTGCTTTGGGGCCTAGCATGTTATCCCCTTTTTAATTGCAGCTCAATTCACAATAGCCAGTATATGGAATCAATCCATATTTCCATGAACTCATGACTAGATAAAGAAAGTGTGGTATGTATACACAATGGAATACTACTCAGCCATAATTAAATCTTGTCTTCTGCGACAAATTGGATGCAGTTGGAGACCACTATATTTAATGAAACAAGTCAATCCCCAAAAGGCAAATATCATGTTTTCTCTGATTTATAGTAACTAACATATAGAGTACAAAAAATGTGCATGATTAAAATTAACATCTTGAAATTTTACTGTGTTTATAATCCTTGTTTATACTGCTGAGGAACAGTTGTCTATTTAGTTACTACTTGTTGAATTCTTTATTTAGTGGAAGATTAAGCTTGTGAGTATAAAGTAAATTGAACATATGTCATTGCAAGAAATTAAAAGAAAAATAAGAAGGAAGATGTAGAGAGTGAGGGTGGGAAGTATCATTATTTTCTTAAAACTGTATATATGAAATCTGTTCCCTTTATATAAATAGATAAGTAAATGCATATTTCAAAGATAGTATAATTATAAAAACAGGAGTAAATTTACTTTCATGTCAATAATGGTTTCTTCTCACATTAAAAAAACTGAATAACTTGAAAAAGTTAAGAGTAGGATACTGGTTAATCTAATTTTGAGTACACCTAAACAATCCAAGTCTGTGTAGCTAAAAAATAATTTGTGATTTGGGAAAGTATCAGAAACATACTATGAATGGATAAGAAAGTTATATAATAGTGTATATATTATTATCCTATTTGAATTTAAAGTTATAAAATTTCTATTATTTTAAAAAAGGTTTTATTTATCTGAGAGATCGAGTTACACACAGAGAGAAGGAGAGATGGAAAGGTCTTCAGTCTTCTAGTTCACTCCCCAGATGGCCACAATGGCCAGAATTGGGCCAATCTGAAGCCAGAATCCAGGACTTCTTCCAGGTCCCCCCATGTTAGTGCAGGGGCTCAAGCACTCGGGCCATCCTCTGCTGCCTTCCTAGGCATAGGTAGGATCAGAAGTGGAGCAGCCAGGACTTAAACTGGCACCTTTATGGGATGCTAGTGCTGCAGGTGGAGGCTCAGCCCACTACACCACAGCACTGGCCCCACAATTTCTATAATTATAAACTGAATTGTGAATTCAGTCTTGTAAAGATTGAAAATATTGAGTTTCCTTCTATTTTCCCTTATCAATTTTTTTACCATTACAATTATAAACTCCAAGAATTTATTATGCTGAAATATTTAATAATTAAAATGCTCAGTTTAAAAAGTTTAAAAACTTTATCTTGTGTTTATATACATAAATTGTTTCTGTTTGAATTTCAATTTTTATGCATAAACTTTTAAAGTTCTTTTTAAAGATTTACTTATATATTTGAAAGGCAGAGTTTCAGAGAGGAAGAGACAGAGCTCTTTCATCCACTGGTTCACTCCTCAGATGGCTGCAATGGCTGGGCCTGGGCCAGGCTGAACCCAGGAGCCAGGAGCTACTTCCAGGTCTCCCAAATAGATGCAGAGACCTGAGCACTTGAAGTATCGTATGTTGCTTTCCCAGGCAGATTAGCAGGAAGCTGGGTCGGAAGTGGAGCAGCAGGGACATGCATTGGTGCCCATATGGCATGCTGGCGTTGCAGCTGGCAGCCTAACCTGCTATGACACGGTGCTAGCTCTATTTATTTATTTGAAAGGCAGAGTTAGAAAGAGCAGAACCAGAAAGAGAGGGATCTTAGATATGCTGTTTTACTCCCTAAATGGCTACAAAAACTGGGGTTAGGCCAGGCCAAAGCCAGTAGCCTGGAACTCCATCCGAGTCTCCCCTGTGGGTGGAAGTATCCCAAACACTTGAGCCATCTGCTGCTGCTTTCCAGGTGCATTAGCAGGGAGCTGGATTAGAAGTGGAGTGTGGGGTCTCGAACTGGCGCTTATGTGAGATGTTGTTTTTGCAGGCAGCAGTATAACCCACTGTGCCACAACACCAGCCCCTAAAGATAAACATTTAATTGATGGCCATCTGTAGTAATATGAGGGTCCTTCAAAGAGTTGGTAGAAAAATGGAATTAAAAGATAATTCACATTTTGTAGCCCTCTTGTATATTTCTTTTGACTCTTTTGCCTATTTTTTATACATAAAAATTAGTGGTTTTTTTATACATATGAACCTTTTATTTTTAACTCAAAAGAAGCAGAGGCTTCAAAGAGCTTTTAGAAAAATGAATTAAAGATTAACATGAATTTTCATCAACTTTTTGAAACTTTATTGTATAGCTGAGATATCTTTCCACATCAGTATATTGACAAAGAAATTTCACCTTTAAGAGTCTGTGTGAATGAAGCCTAATTGACTTAACACATTTCTCTTGATAATATGTACTATAATTGAACAAACTCTTATTTTACAAGACAACTGCTCTAACCCCTGAGCTAATGGAACTGCTAGTAACTCTTATTTTAGGTATTAGATATTGTCTAGGTGCTAGGGATATACTAGTGAGGACAGAAAGTATTATATACTTATACACACACACACACACACACACATATATATATATACATACAGAGAGAGAGAGATGTCTACCTCTCATGAAGCTTAAATTCTATGAGATGGACACATTAATAAAACACCTATTCAAATAAAAGGGAGAATCATAATTGCGATAAGTGATGAAGAATATAATCTAGGGAATTGATATAGTCATGGAGGTGAGTGACAACTATTCTGAAGAAGTACGCTGACTCTGAACAAAGCGTTATTAATTTTATGCATATCAGTCCCCTATTTCCCATGGTTTCTGTTACCTGTCATCAACTGTGGCTCCAAAATATTACATATAGAATTGCAGCAGTTAACCATTCCTAAGTTTGAAATTGCATGCTATTTGAAGAAATATTGTGCTGTCCAGTTTCATCCCACATGGGATGTTGAATCATTGCTTTGTCTTGCGTGTTGATGCTGCATAATCTCCTTGACCTTAGTCACGTAGTAATCACCTCTGTCGTCAGATTGACTGTCACATTATTGCAGTGCTTGTGTTCAAGTCACTCTTTTTTACTTAAGAATGTCTTTAACACAAAAAGTAGTGATGTTGGAAATTTGGATATGATAAACAGAAGTCATAAAATGTTCTCTTTAAGTGAAAAGATGAAGAAAGTACAGTAAGATATTTTGAGAGAAACATCACACCTACATAATTTTTATTATATATTAGAATTATTCTGTTTTATAATGTTATTAATCTTTTATTGTACCTGGTTTATAAGTGAAACTTTATTACAGATGTTTTTATGTAGGAGAAATGTAGTATACCTAAGTCCATCTCTTTCTCTGTTTTCAGGCATCCATGGGGGATTTTGGAAGATATTCCCTGTGGACAGGTGTTATTTTGTCCTATCATATCTATTCTCCCATTTCTTCTGTATTTGTAAGTGTTCTTTCACTAGTACCTCTGTCTTATTGGCTTTTAAACAGGTTTAGGGTTCTCACATTAAAAAAAAAAGGACTCTTTTTTCACCCCCAGTCTCCTTTCCACCTACTGCCTTTTGCCTCTCCTTCCCTTCTTGACAGGAAAAGGTTGTCTTAACTTTCTCTTTTCATTCATTTATTTCTCTCTGAATTACTAAAAAAAATCCAGGCTCCCTCCTTCTTTATCCTGTTCCAGTCATTTTTTAAAAAAGATTTATTTATTTATTTGAAAGAGTTACAGAGGGGGTGGGGTGGGGAGGGAGGTCGGTCGGTCGGTCTTCCATCCGATGGTTCACTCTCCAATTGGCCACAATGGCTGGAGCTGTGCCAGTCCGAAGCCAGGAGCCAGGAGTTTCTTCCAGGTCTCCCATATAGGTGAAGGGGTCCAAGGACTTGGGGCATCCTCTACTGCTTTCCCAGGCCATAGCAGAGAACTGGATCAGAAGTGGAGCAGCCGGGTCTCTAACCGGCACCCATATGGGATGCCAGCGCTTCAGGCCAGGGCATTAACCCACTGCGCCACAGCACCGGCCCCTCCAGTCTTTTTTTTTTTTTTTTTAACTTTTATTTAATGAATATAAATTTCCAAAGTACAGCTTATGGATTACAATGGCTTCCCCCCCATAACGTCCCTCCAACCCGCAACCCTCCCCTTATACACTCCCTCTCCCCTTCCATTCACATCAAGATTCATTTTCGATTCTCTTTATATACAGAAGATCAGTTTAGCATACATTAAGTAAAGATTTCAACAGTTTGCTCCCACACAGAAACATAAAGTGAAAAATACTGTTTGAGTACTAGTTATAGCATTAAATTTCAATGTACAGCACACTAAGGACAGAGATCCTACATGAGGAGTAAGTGCACAGTGACTCCTGTTGTTGACTTAACAAATTGACACTCTTGTTTATGGCATCAGTAATCACCCTAGGCTCTTGTCATGAGCTGCCAAGGCTTTGGAAGCCCCCTGAGTTCACTGACTCTGATCATATTTAGACAAGGCCATGGTCAAAGTGGAAGTTCTCTCCTCCCTTCAGAGAAAGGTACCTCCTTCTTTGATGACCCATTGTTTCCACTGGGATCTCACTCGTGGAGATCTTTCATTTAGGTTTTTTTTTTTTTTAACTTTTATTTAATGAACATACGTTTCCAAAGTACGAATAATGGATTACTATGGCTTCCCCCCCATACCGTCCCTCCCACCCACAACCCTCCCCTTTCCCACTCCCTCTCCCCTTCCATTCACATCAAGATTCATTTTCGATTATCTTAATATACAGAAGATCAGCTTAGTATACATTAAGTAAGGATTTCAACAGTTTGCTCCCACACAGAAACATAAAGTGAAAAATAATAGATGATTTTTTTTTAATGATGATGAAATCAGATCAGACCTATTGTCATGTTTAATCCCAGTGAGAGTCAAGTTGGGAGTTGATAGTTTCTTTTCTTTTCTTTCCTTTTCTTTTCTTTTCTTTTTTTTTTTTTTTTTTTTTTTTTTTTTTACAGAGGATCAGTTTAGTATGCATTAAGTAAAGATTTCAACAGTTTGCACCCCCATAGAAACACAGAGTGAAATATATTATTTGAGTACTCGTTATAGCATTAAATCTCAATGCACAGCACATTAAGGACAGAGATCCTACATGAGGAGTAAGTGCACAGTGACTCCTGTTGTTGACTTTACCAATTGACACTCCTGTCTATGGCATCAGTAATCTCCCTATGCTCCAGTCATGAGTTTCCAAGGCTATGGAAGCCCCTTGAGTTCTCCGACTCTTATCTTGTTTAGACAAGGTCATAGTCAAAGTGGAGGTTCTCTCCTCCCTTCAGAGAAAGGTACCTCCTTCTTTGAAGACCTGTTCTTTCCACTGGGATCTCACTCGCAGAGATCTTTTGCCAGAGTGTCTTGGCTTTCCATGCCTGAAATACTCTCATGGGCTTTTCAGCCAGCTCCGAATGCCTTTAGGGCTGATTCTGAGGCCAGAGTGCTATTTAGGGCATCTGCCATTCTATGAGTCTGCTGAGTATCTCACTTCCCATGTTGGATCACTCTCCCCTTTATTTATTCTATCGGTTAGTGTTAGCAGGTACTAGACTTGCTTATGTGCTCCCTTTGACTCTTAGTCCTTTCATTATGATCAATTGCGAACTGAAATTGATCACTTGGACTAGTGAGATGGCATTGGTACATGCCACCTTGATGGGATTAAATTGGAGTCCCCTGGTATGTTTCTAACTCTACCATTTGGGGCAAGTCAGCTTGAGCATGTCCCAAATTATATATCTCTTCCCTCTCTTATTCCTACTCTTATGTTTAACAGGGATCACATTTCAGTTAAATTTCAACACTTAAGAATAACTGTGTATTAATTACAGAATTAAACCAGTCATATTAAGTAGAACAGACAAAAAAACTACTAAGAGGGATAATGTATTAAGTTGTTCATTAACAGTCAGGGCTATGCTGATCAAGTCACCGTTTCCCATAGTGTCCATTCCACTTCAACAGGTTTCCTTTTTGGTGTTCAGTCAGTTGTCACCGATCAGGGAGAACATATGGTATTTGTCCCTTTGGGACTGGCTTATTTCACTCAGCATGATGTGTTCCAGATTCCTCCATTTTGTTGCAAATGACTGGATTTCGTTGTTTCTTACTGCGGTATAGTATTCTAAAGAGTACATATCCCATAATTTCTTTATCCAGTCTACCATTGATGGGCATTTAGGTTGGTTCCAGGTCTTAGCTATTGTGAATTGAGCTGCAATAAACATTAGGCTGCAGACCGCTTTTTTGTTTGCCAATTTAAATTCCTTTGGGTAAATTCCAAGGAGTGGGATGGCTGGGTCGAACGGTAGGGTTAAATTCAGGTTTCTGAGGAATCTCCAGACTGACTTCCATAGTGGCTTGACCAGTTTGCATTCCCACCAACAGTGGGTTAGTGTCCCTTTTTCCCCACATCCTCGCCAGCATCTGTTGTTGGTAGATTTCTGCATGTGAGCCATTCTAACCGGGGTGAGGTGGAACCTCATTGTGGTTTTGATTTGCATTTCTCTGATTGCTAATGACCTTGAACATTTTTTCATGTGCCTGTTGGCCATTTGGATTTCCTCTTTTGAAAAATGTCTATTGAGGTCCTTGGCCCATCTCTTAATTGGGTTGTTGGTTTTGTTTTTGTGGAGTTTCTTGATCTCTTTGTAGATTCTGGTTATTAACCCTTTATCTGTTGCATAGTTTGCAAATATTTTTTCCCATTCTGTCGGTTGTCTCTTCACTCTCCTGACTGTTTCTTTTGCAGTACAGAAACTTCTCAATTTGATGCAATCCCAATAGTTAATTTTGGCTTTGACTGCCTGTGCCTCCCGGGTCTTTTCCAGAAACTCTTTGCCTGTGCCAATATCTTGAAGGGTTTCTCCAATGTTCTCTAGTAACTTGATGGTGTCAGGTCGTAGATTTAGGTCTTTAATCCATGTTGAGTGGATTTTTGTGTAAGGTGTAAGGTAGGGGTCTTGCTTCATGATTCTGCACGTGGAAATCCAATTTTCCCAGCACCATTTATTGAATAGACTGTCCTTGCTCCAGGAATTAGTTTTAGATCCTTGATCAAATATAAGTTGGCTGTAGATGTTTGGGTTGATTTCTGGTGTTTCAATTCTGTTCCATTGGTCTATCCATCTGTTTCTGTACCAGTACCATGCTGTTTTGATTACAACTGCCCTGTAGTATGTCCTGAAATCTGGTATTGTGATGCCTCCGGCTTTGTTTTTGTTGTACAAGATTGCTTTAGCTATTCGAGGTCTCTTGTGCCTCCATATAAATTTCAGCACCATTTTTTCCAGATCTGAGAAGAAGGTCTTCGGTATCTTGATTGGTATTGCATTGAATCTATAAATTGCTTTTGGGAGAATGGACATTTTGATGATATTGATTCTTCCAATCCATGAGCATGGAAGATTTTTCCATTTCTTGGTATCCTCTTCTATTTCTTTCTTTAAGGTTTTGTAATTTTCATCGTAGAGATCTTTAACGTCCTTGGTTAAGTTTATTCCAAGGTATTTGATTGTTTTTGTAGCTATTGTGAATGGGATTGATCCTAGAAGTTCTTCCTCAGCCATGGCATTGTCTGTGTATACAAAGGCCGTTGATTTTTGTGCATTGATTTTATACCCTGCTACTTTGCCAAACTCTTCTATGAGTTCCAATAGTCTCTTGGTAGAGTTCTTTGGGTCCCCTAAATAAAGAATCATGTCATCTGCAAAGAGGGATAGTTTGAGTTCTTCCTTCCCAATTTGTATCCCTTTAATTTCTTTTTCTTGCCTAATAGCTCTGGCTAGAACCTCCAGAACTATATTGAATAGCAGTGGTGAGAGTGGACATCCCTGTCTGGTCCCAGATCTCAGTGGAAATGCTTCCAACTTTTCCCCATTCAATAGGATGTTGGCTGTGGGTTTTTCATAGATTGCTTTGATTGTATTGAGGAATGTTCCTTCCAAACCCAGTTTGCTTAGAGTTTTCATCATGAATGGGTGTTGTATTTTATCAAATGCTTTCTCGGCATCTATTGAGAGAATCATATGATTTTTCTTCTGCAGTCTGTTAATGTGGTGTATCACATTGATTGTCTTGCGCACATTAAACCATCCATGCATACCAGGGATAAATCCCACTTGGTCTGGGTGGATGATCTTTCTGATGTGTTGTTGCATTCTATTGGCGAGAATTTTATTGAGGATTTTTGCATCTATGTTCATCAGGGATATTGGTCTGTAATTCTCTTTCAGTGCTGCATCTTTTCCCGGCTTAGGAATTAAGGTGATGCTGGCTTCATAGAAAGAATTTGGGAGGATTCCCTCTTCTTCAATTGTTCTGAATAGTTTGAGAAGAATTGGAGTTAGTTCTTCTTTAAATGTCTGGTAGAATTCAGCAGTGAATCCATCTGGTCCTGAGCTTTTCTT